TGGCTTAGGACTAGCCACAACGTATCAAGTAAATTTTTTGTGAATTTAATGTGCACGCATTTGTAATGTTCAATGAAACATGCCTATAAAATTTGTAGCAGTATACATTTTTTTTCCTTGAAAATTTCATATACATGGTTTTGACAAGAATAAAGAGAACAAACTCTGGATGCATAGATGCTTTGAAATATCTGGATTTGTTCATGGTTTAATGCTTTTATTTCTTTAAGCTATCAATAATATGGTGCCTTCTATTAATAATTCCATACTTTAGTGTATTTATGCATCTAATAAGCTTAGTACAGAAGGTGGTAAAAGTGAATGCAGATTTGTTCAGCAACTTAAGTGGCAGTTGTCTGCAGCAGATGTGTTTTTACTCTCAAGACATGAAAATCATGAGGTTCGAACATCAATAGGTAAACCCCTCATCGGCCTTATCCAACATATGTTTGCAGTATAATTGCTAGGCAATTTAAATGATTGCAGGAAATAATTTAAAGTTTCTATATACTGTTAAGGAACAAAAACTCATTGAGTGAACCGATTCAAGTTTTCTTGGATTAGTTGGTGTCTAAGGCAAGGTTTATGGGTTGCGTAACGCGCTCTGTAAGGAACGATGTACTTAATTGATCTTTGATCAACCTCTATTACTATCCTTACCTGGCTAACTACCCGGGTAAAACTTTAATCTTTTCACTTTAGGAGTTTTTGGTTTGGAATAAGAGGACCGAAATTATGTGAAAATTCATATACATTTATTTAATTTCGCTTCTTGCATCATATATTGCCTAATGATAAATGATCAATATATGAGCGAACAAATCAAAGAGGTGCATTTTTTAAAATTCTATTTTATATGGTGGATTATATTTCAAATCTTCAAATGTAAAGTTCATCATTTTTATTGCATTTTGATGAATATTGCAATAAATGCTCATATATCTTTTTAGATAACTTGCATTTTTTACATGATTAATTACAAGGTTTTATGCAAGAATGCACTTGTAAAATTTAAAGCACGTATGTACAAATATTATTATTATTATTATTTGTATAAGAGGTGGTACTAGAAAATGGCAACATAAATTTGGAAGGTCTCCTTTGTAGACAACCAATTTAAATTTGGAAGGTCTCATTTGTAGGCAACCGATTTAAATTTGGACGGTCTCATTTGTAGGCAACCAATTTGTAACCTCTTATAATAGAATAATTTAAAAAATTTATGCATTTGAATTATGAAGTATGAAATATATTTTAAGATACGAAATCCTATTATGTTCTGCATGTATCTATTATTAATTTCATTCATGTATGTGCATATGCATAACTGCAGAATTTTTAGTTCCACATTAGTTTGAAATGTTCAGATATTAAGGTCAATCTCTTCAGACATAGACTATGATCTTTTATGATCATAGATCATGACCTAATGTCAATTTCAAACAATATGATGGACTAATTACAAAATAAGAACTTGATAAATAAATACAACGCCTGCTAGGCAAAGTTATGATTCTAGACTTTGTAAAGTCTGTGAAAAGAATCTTGATGACTCTTTGACAAAGGGTCTATCCAGGAGTGTGGTTCTGGATTCATCGAGGGAGATGGGGTTAAGCCCATAGATGAGGTCACTGACAGCGGCAACCCAACCCTTATTTGGAGACGTAGTCCCAATGTCGGTTCAATGTGGTAGAAACAAGCTGGACAAGTGACTCTCGTGTGGAGCATCGACCTAGATATATTTATATATCATTATGTAGCATTTGCTACTACCCCTTCTCTATGATGACGATGCTCTTATGATACAGCTGGCTAGGCTAAGTTTTACTCTTAATAAGTCCAACGCGTGTATTGTGGGGGGTATTAAATAAACAGCTGTAGTACCCTTTGAGGACTTACCTACGTGAGAGGAACCGTGATGGCCGCGGTTAAGGGGGGCTGGGCTAACCTCTAAAAACTCTCATGAGTCGGTTTATTGTGAGCATGGCCTTTAACGCTCAACTCGCTTTGCTCAATAGATGAAGCGTATTGTGTGTGTTTTTATCAATACCTGATTCAAGGGGCCTAATTCAAGGCCTAGTCCATTATGTCCCTCAGGTGGCGATGAACTCACTAAGGAAAGGTTCAAAGCCGAAAGCTACCTCTCCCGAATTCACGATACGAAAGGTTGCCCAACCTATTTTCATTTTGTGATTTATTAATTTATTTATTGATTTTTAAGTTTTCAGTCAATATTGCCTTTTGGGGGGGACTGTTGGATATTTTTAAAGAAAAGGCAATTTTGCCTTAATGAATTCTAATAAATTTTTGTAATTAAAATATGCAATTAAAATATGTTTTAATGTGTTTTAATTTGTAATTAAAATGGGCATAATGACTATACATTATGACGAACGTTACGAAATTTATTGAGGGATTTTGTAACGGCTCTTTTCAACCCCTATATAAACAACATATGTTGAGCTCAAGAGATAAGAAAAATAACAAGAAGTCTCTCTTGTTTTCTCTTCTCTCCCCTACATATATTATTTTCATTATATCTTAGTTTTATTTTATGGGCAACTTTCTTCATCTGAGCTGAAGCTCTGCACTCTCGCCCGAGTGTAGAGGCCGGCCATTTCCGGGGGTTTTTACCGCTAGGGGGGAGGGTGTAGGCATATAAAATTGCTTATAGGTCCCTTAGCATAGCTCGGCACAAACCGACGAGACGACGAGGTTGACGAACCGCACGCAAGCAACAGAATACATCCATTCGAGCGTGGAATCAAGCCAACAGTTCGGGGAATCAACGAGTCATTCAAACAAGAGCGGACTCGGACGAATCACGATCGAATCAAGATCGGTTTCGGACTCGAACTCAGAAGTGGATTTACTGCCAAATCAGGATTCGGATCGACTGCCAAATCAGATCAACAAATCAGAGTCTAAGTCAACCGACGAAACGGGAATCACGGACAAAACCGGACAACGGACACAACGCAAAATGACAAAACCACGCCTAAGGGGGGCTCGGCCGAAACCGAGCCACCTCTAGGTGGCTCGGTGGCCGAGCCACCTTGAGGTGGCTCGGCCCACACTGTGCCCGAGGCACAGTGAGGGTAGCCTATAAATAGGCCCCCCATTTGTTCATTTAAAAAGGTTGGAACTTTGAGAGCCGAAACTCTGTCGAATTGAAGATCGAGCTTGGAGTTTTGAAGACTTGAGGACTTGAAGATTCAGATCTGATTCTCGGCGAGCGTCCACGTCACAAAAGGCAGGAGTTCGAGAGAGGTAAAACTCAGATCTGAGATCTACACGAAACTACACTCCGGATCAAAGCTTGGCCTTTGATCCCGAGATTTGGACGATTATTTCCTTGGTGAACTAATCCTCCCTGGCTATTATTTCCTTGGTGAAATAATACCCGTCGAATCGTGTAGATCCGACCGGATCTAGATCGCGCGGTGGTCCACGGATTAACCCCAGCGTCGGCAAAGAACTCACACAAAGCAAGAGACCGCAAAACAGGATCTTGCGATTTGTTCAAAAGGAGAAAGTTGTAATTTTTATTTTTTCTTTGATTTCGTTGTAACCGGATCTAAAAAAGACCGGATCTTTTGTAACTCGAAAAGTTGTTATTAAAGAGTGCAATGAATTCAATGAAGGCTACGATTTTCACCGCGAACAGAGGGAACCATCTGCGCCAGGGCGATGGGCGGGTTCTCAATCTTCTAGGGCAGTGAATACACGACTGCTCCCGATCAGGCCAATTTTAATTGTTTATTTTTCGGATTTATCTGCATGCTATAATCTTAATTATTTGATAATTTATCCAACACTTTCTAACCACGCGCGTGAAGCTCGTGCCTCCGCCCGGAAAAACCAGGTAATCTCCTTCGAGAAATTTATAAATCGAACCAATTACTAAAATCAAAATCAAAATCAAAATTTATAAATTAATCAAGACATACCAGAAATTATTCTCTTATAAAACCTTGCTCAATTTGTTCACTTCCTGATCCTTCCTGATGGCTAAAATCTAATATTTGAGGAGAAGATGGAAGAGAAGGTTTGTGGACGATGATGATAATAATAAGCTTCTTAATGACAATAATAATCATCTTTGCAATTTGATAACCGGCAATTGATGAGGTAGAGAGAGTGGGACTGCGTTGCTAGAGAAAAATCGTAACGAATGGAACACAGACGGGAAGGAACGAAGATTTAGGGTTTTACATCTTTTGATTTGTGAGTAACAAAAAAAATTACCTTTGTTAAGCTAATAAAATGAAATATGAGGATTAAAATGAAATATGAGGATAACTCTGTTATATTTACAATAGTTGAAGGGTAATTTGGGGTAAGGATAATGACATACTAGAAATTATTCTCTTATAAAAACATTGCTCAATTTGTTCACTTCCTGATCCTTCCTAATAGCTAAAATCTGATATTTGAGGAGAAGATGGAAGAGAAGGTTTGTGGACGATGAGGATAATAACAAGCTTCTTGATGACAATAATAATCATCTTTGCAATTTGATAACCGACAATTGATTAGGTAGAGAGAGTGAGACTGCGTTGCCGGAGGAAATTTGTAACGGATGGAACGGAGAAGGGAAGGATTAAGTTAATGAAATGAAAGATGAGGGTAACTTTGTTATATTTACAATAGTTGAAGGGTAATTTGGGGTTTTTTGGTACTCCCTCTTTTAAAGGGTAGATGATAGATGATTATCTATTATGATTTAATAAATAGAAGGAATTGTACGGTTTGTGTATGTGTCTATGTTTTATTTAATTTATGTCCGCATGTATTTGTTTTAAAGGACATTTTTAGGAAGAAAATGTTTTAACATCCTACATACTGTTATAATAATATTAGATTAGATTAGATTAGATAAATTTCTCAGCTATGGCGCTTAATAAAAGATGCACAATTTCATGAGTTAGTGTGCAAGATACAGTGTATGAATACAGTAACCCAATACCCAATTTTTATTGGGTTATCGGATGCCCCAACCCTCCAACTATAACCCAATAAAACACCACCTCGTTCATAAGCTAGAGACCTCTAACTTCACATGAGACCATTCAAACCCACTGCATTTCCCGCCATTTCTTCTCTCACTTCAAATCCCACAATCAAAAGATCCATCCATGTCGACGCCCAAATGATCAAAACTGGATTCAATCCCCAAACCTACGACTCCAACCTCCAAATCTCGTCCCTCATCAACAGCGGCGGGATCTCAAAAGCCCGCGAACTGTTCGACAAAATGCCCCACAAGAATACTTTCACTTGCAACCGAATAATCTCAGGTTACGCCAAGTCTGGAGATATTGAAGAGGCCCGCTTGATCTTCGATCGGACTTTCGACCGCAATGAGGTCACATGGACGATCATGGTAGGGGCTTATTCGCAGTCGAATCAGACCCTGGAATCTTTCAATCTCTTCAATCAAATGAGGAGATCTGGCATAATGGCTGATCATGTTGCAATTGCTGCAATTCTTGGTTCATGCCAAGACTTCAACGCGTCAAATTGGGTTGTTCAGGTTCACGGGCAAATCGTGAAATTTGGGTTTCAGTCGAATTTGGTGGTGAACAACACTTTGGTCGATTCTTACTGCAAATGTAAGCGATTGAGCTCGGCTCAGAAGCATTTTGATGAGATGCCAGAGAGAGATGGGGTGAGTTATAACGCGATGGTGATGGGTTTTTCAAAAGAGGGGTTTTATCAGGAATCGATTGATTTGTTCACTGAAATGAGAAATTTAGGCTTGAAACTTTCGCAATTTACATTTTCTGGCATTTTGACCGCTGCTTCAGGATTAGGCGATTTGAGCCTCGGACGTCAAGTTCACAGTCTTGTGATCCGAACGAACTTTTTGTGGAATGTGTTTGTTACCAATTCTTTGCTCGATTTCTACTCGAAATGTGACCTAATAAACGAAGCTAGAACTATTTTTGATAGGATGGAAGAAAGAGATAATGTCTCATACAATGTGATGATATCTGGTTACTGCTGGAGTGAGCAAAGGGAAGAGATTGTGAAGCTATTCAAAGAAATGGCAATGACTGGTTTCGAGCGAAAGCATTTCCCATTTCCAAGCTTATTGAGCTTCGCTGCTTCTGTACAGGATCTTGAGATGGGTAAGCAGATTCACGCCCAAGTAATTGTTACAGGTGCAGTTCTTGATGAAATCGTTGCTAACTCTCTCATCGACATGTATGCAAAATGTGGTGTCATGGAGAAGGCAGAGTTCATCTTTGCTAATCGGAAGGATCAGAGTACAATTTCATGGACAGCGATGATATCGGGCCATACTGAAAATGGGCAATATGAAGAAGCTTTGGGGCTTTTTTGCAAAATGAGACGAGTGGGGCTCAGCCCTGATCGAGCTACATTTGCTTCAGTCATCAAGGCATCGGCTGGAATGGGTTCTCTAGGGTTAGGGCAAGAACTGCACTCCTATGTAATAAAATCAGGCAATATGTCGAGCGTGTTTTCTGGCTGTACAATTCTCGACATGTACGCAAAATGTGGTTGTTTGAATGAAAGCTTTAAGATTTTCGGAGAAATGCCGGAAAGAAACATAGTTTCGTGGAATGCGGTTATGGCTGCTTTAGCCCACAACGGCGAGGGCAAGAAGGCGGTCGAGATGTTAGATGAGATGGTGAAATTAGGTTTTATGCCCGACTGGGTCACGATATTGAGCGTCATGTCCGCTTGTAGTCATAGTGGGCTTGTGGACAAAGGCATGAAAATCTTTGAATCCATGGGGAAATTGTACATGGTTAATCCCAGAAGGGTGCATTATTCATGTGCCATTGACTTATTAGGCCGTGTTGGACGCTTCAATGAGGTCGAGGATCTGATCAATCGAATGCCATTCGAGCCTGATGAAATCATATGGAACTCGATCATCAACTCAAGTAGAATACATGGAAATCAAAAACTCGCGATCCTAGCATCTGAAAGACTATTCGATATGGGGCTTAAAGAAGCGACTCCATACATTATACTATCAAACATGTACTCAAAGGCAGGGAAGTGGGATGAGGCGGCGAAAGTGAAGAAGTTGATGAGAGCACGAGGAGTTCGAAAAGAACCAGGTTACAGTTGGGTAGAGATCAAGAATCAAACATACACATTCTCATCCAACGATTACATAAAAGACGATACCAAAGATATGCTGGTGAAGTTAAGATATAAAATGGAGGAGGCTGGATATAATCGTGATACAAGTTGCACGTTGCAAAATGTTGATGAAGGAACTAAGGCTGAGTCTTTGATGCACCATAGCGAGAGATTGGCGATCGCTTTTGCGCTGGTCCATGGACCGCCTGGTGCACCAATTCGGGTGATGAAGAACCTTCGTGCGTGTGCAGACTGCCACGAGGCGATCAAGGTAATGTCAAAGGTGATTGAAAGGGAGATCACAGTGAGGGATTCGAGTCGGTTTCATCGGTTCAGGGACGGGGTTTGTTCTTGTGGGGATTACTGGTGACGTTGAAGATTTAGGTTTTTCTTAAATTTATTTGTGGAACTTTTGAAGAATTCGTAGTTCACAGCAAACCTTCCTCCTAAACTTAGCCATTTTTCTCTTTTGAATCCATGGCACAACCCGTCCTTTCAAAATTCCTTCCCTCTTGCCAAACCAAACAAGAACGAGAGAGAAACGAAAGGATCTACATGCATTGCTGTCAGTCAAAAGCGTTTTTGATACAAACCATTATTTATGTTACGGTTTTTACTTACCGTCGACTGCCTTGATCGGCCCGATGATCGCGCAACAACTATTCCGGGCCAAGACCTCCGATATTGTACTTGCACTGTTCCAAAGCCCGGCACAACGTGGCTGATATATCCCTCCTTTTCGCCACCGTCAACAGCAACTCCCCTCATTACGATCCTCGCTACTACTTGACTACCCCCAGCGCTCACCAAGGCACTCCCCACATCAAGCAGCAAGTACACGCGCACAACCTAGTGCCTGACTTGGAACTGCTCCCCTCTCCGAGGCCTTTCGAGACTCGCATCCCGTTCCATTTGCTGCCGAGCTCTATACCTCAGTCCGGATGTAAGGTTGTGCATCTCCGTCCGCTGTCGAGCTCTGTGTCTGAGTCCGGACGTAAGGTTGTGCATCTCTGTCGCAGCACGAAAGACAACTTTGTTTCGCTGTGGCACCTCGCCGATAAGATACGTGCGGTATCTCTTGAGGAGTTTTTCGACGGCTTCTGTGCTGACTGCTGGGAGGTACTTTGGTCGGCGTTTCTGGGATCACGTGCTTGGTTATGGGAAAGCGAGCTTGGACAGACCGGACAGGGTGGTGCTCGTGATGTACAAGAAGATACGGGAAGACACTTCGACCAAGTTGAGAAAACTGGCGGAGTTTGTCGGGCGCCCTCGTCGCAGAGAGGCAAGGGGTGGTGGAGGACATTATAAAGATGAGCAGTTTCGAGAACTGGAGCAATTTGGAGGTGAAGAAGAATGGACTGTCAGGGGTAGGAGATCCGATGACAGCATGCACGTTGTTCAGGCGTGGGATAGTCAGGGGATCGGGTGAACAATCCTACAGGTCAGCATCTAGATGAGATTATCTAGAGCAAAATTTAGGTTTCAGGCCTGGCATTTTGACGTGGGAGACCCGAGCTCAACCTTGCAGAGATTCGACGATTCTTTCGAGTAATACTATTGAACTGTGCTTGCATGCAGATTCGACGATTCTTGCGAGTAACACCATCGAACTACGTTCTCATGCCCGTGCTTTCTTTGGAGAATCATTAGGCTCAACTTTTTAGTGGTTTGAAGATGTTTAGAAGTATACCGCTATTGTACTATGTTTGAACGTGCGCATGCTTTCTGAGCTTTCAATCAAAATAATGTTTCTATCGAGTGCTGTTAATGAACTATGGTTGTGTGCCTGAACTTGGCTTTCAACCAAATAAGGTTTTCATAGAATTATTTTCAGTGCTCGTCAGCTAAATGAAGAAAAAAAGCTTCTGATGTTGGTTATTGACCATGAGATCAATCGGTTCTATATTTGACGTGCACCAAGTACTAAATCGATGTTAACCCTTTGATCATTAGACTTAGAAATACACACGTCAAATGATCGATATCCTTTTAATGCACGTTTAATATTCTGAACTAGGTCCATGGAACACTTTCTCAAGCAAGAAAGCATTTACATCTTTTGATTATAGAGAGACTCTACAACTCACCAATATCTATTCATTTTATGGACCCAATAATGATATTGTTTACATAAATTATACAAGAAAATCTTTCAATTGTGGGGACAACTGAATGTGCTGAAATTTTGTTAACCCACATAAGTAATTGTAAGCTTTCTCTGCGATCAAAGATGCAGAGATTAGAAAATCCAGAGACTCTATAAGGCTTTCGAAAAGCTTTCCCTAATGAGAAGTTGCTCAGCTTTTTCCATTCTGTGTTCAGATATCGTGTCTAAACACTCCAATGTCAACTCATATAATCACATATATAGTCAACACCACATGTCGCACATTAATCGCGTGTTTTATTTCCATACGATATTAATTGCTCAAACAATTGACCATAGAAATTTCTATTACCTAACAACAGGAAAATGTTACCAGGTATACGGACGAACATAATTTTCTTTCAGGAACGTAGAATTACAGCACAGGCGGTAAACAAATTAATGACACATTTCTCCGAGGAAAAAGAAGAAATAAATCAAGCAATGCCGTAAGCACACCCTACGATATCGCCTCACCTGAACAACTAATGGGGTTGTATAGAAATCTTGGGGGAAGTTAACTTATTTTCTAATGCACCGACGAGCCATTGGGTAGCGGTCCTTCCGAACTGACTTCTGATGAGTAACCATTTCCATTTTCAAAAAATGCGGAATGGAGCGCTCTAACGCATTCCTTTGCTTCACTATCATGGACCACCAAGGAAATATTTACCTGCAAGAAGATGAGAACAAACAATGATGAGGCAATGTCCAATGAAATGAAAGAAGAATCGCCAGTAAATACCTTAGATGCTCCTTGAGAGATCATCTGGACGTTGATCCCCTTCTTTTTAAGCACGCTGAAAGCCTGATATAATATGACACATAATAGCACGATACGATAAATATACTTTTTATGATAGCGGAAAAAAAGGAGCGGACTCAATATACCTGTTCCAATATAAGCGACGATCGCTGCACATTACCAATGAGAGAGATTATCGATCTGTTCTGGAGAAGATTAACCACTGCAATCTTTTCCAGTTCTTCGACAACATGATCAAGTTCCTGTTCGTTTAGGTAAGATTAAGATGAAGTGTAGACATGAATTTGGTTACGAGACATGCATGGAAAAATAGACGTATAAAATAAAGAGGACCATACGCTTGCCTGCTGGATGAGTTCTCTGCTCCAAACTTTTGCCGGATCTAGGGTTAAAGAGATACTAACTTCACTCGTAGCGACGCAGTCAACTGAGATACCCAAGTCCTCAAATATAGAGAAAACCTGCACTAGGAAATAGAAGCCATAACAATTGGTGGTTTGCCAGAAGAACATAACATCAATACCTGGTAAGTAAAGTGAATAGACTTACCTTTGCTAAGAAACCATATTGGCCAAGCATTCGAGTGCTCACAATGTCCAGCATGGTGATATTTGATTTCAAGACGATACTTGTCAAAACAGCCTGCCATTATTATGAAGAGCCCAGTCAAAGATGGACAAGTGCTAGCCAAATTTTTACCGGTTAAGCAAAATCTATGACTGGAATCAGCAAGCAAGAATGTGATGCGACAAACCTCAGTGAGGTCTCTTCCTCTAGTGATGAGGGTACCAGGAGCCTGAGGGTTGTAGGAATTCTTGACCCTAACTGGTATATTACTCTCTTTGGCTGGCCGCATAGATTGGGGATGGAGAACCTTGCAGACACATAGTGTTATATAGTTATGCCACAATAAAAATCAAATACAACGGAAGCACTGTATGAACATGTACAATATGCGCTGTTTTTAACTCTAATGGACTAATGACCAAGTGCTGATTTATAATATATTTTTCCACATCTCCAACTAATCCAACTGACTTGCCTCTAAGAATATACGTCTGACTTCAGATACTAGTATGAATGCAATATTTTGCACACAAGTGCCTTTAGCGAGTTAGACCAAGATAGCCTTCAATCTTGTTGATATCTACTACAGTGAAAACTGCCTCCACTACAAGCAATTCCCCAGAATATCTGTTTTATTTTTAATTTTGTTTATTTCTTTTGTTCTTATCAAATTCTTTTTCATTCTTGGGGGCTTCTTTATGCCCTTCACTTCTTGATGTGTCCAATAAATATATTGCGCATTTCTATCATTTGTTTATTTAGGTTTAAGAGTGTGAGTTTGAGTATAGCATTGTCTAGACAAGAACAATAGTTAATTACTGAGAACTGTTCTGCATTTCCCATATGATCCAGAATCAGTGTTCAAGAAACTCTCTGAAACTATGAATATTCATATTTATATGTGTGCTTTAGGAAAACGTCCACCTGCACGTTTATACATGGATAAAAAAGTAACATGCAGGTTTTCGATTGCTCTGCAAAGCAGATCTACTCTGAACTAATGTATGAAGATCCACAAGATAAACCGACTAACGTTCCAACTTTGCCATTGATATTAAGATCTCTGAAATTCATGGAAAGCAAAAAAAACATAAAAATGCCGCATATAGCACCTACCTGTGCACCAAAATATGCCAGTTCAGCTGCCTCATCAAATGTCAAGTGCGGTACAGGCTCAGCCTCTGCGGAGATATTTGGATCGCACGTTAAAACACCATCAACATCCTTCCAAACCTACAAGTTGAAAATAGCTTACATGACCACTTGTGACAGAATCAATTTCCTAGTATGTCTTCATAAGAGCAAGAAGAAGTTTATGAAAAAATATAACAGAGATGAGCAATTTGTTTTTCAGAATCAGAAATCCACCTTCAACTGTCGGATATAATACATAGCATAATAAGTGCACACATGCTACAGGGATACATATTTGGCCAACTAGCAACTAAGTTGTTGCTTATATGTAGAGTCTGACCTGTATCTCTCGTAAGCCCAATGCTTTACCAATAGTTGTAGCTGTCAAATCACTACCACCTCTGCCCAATGTAGTGACAGCACAGGATTTCCAACCCTACATGGAAAATTATTAAATGAAATATTTAATGACAATTCATCACATAGAAAATAAAACTAAAGGTCTTAACACAGAAAAGCTACTCTGGCAGAAGAGTGAGGACCTTTCCAAGAAAACCTGTGACAACAGGAATTGCAGGATCATCTATCCAATCTTCATGCAACCTCTTTGATACTGCCGGGTAAGTTGCTTCTAAGATGTCGGCATTTGTAAAATCATCTGTGGTTATAATACCCATATCAAAAGCATCGTACTGCGAAAAAATAGGAAGAGAAAACATTAGTTATCATCTCACAGTTAATAACCTGCACGCACACGTAGTAGGGAAACAGCCAATATCATACACCAGATGAAAGGATAGAATTAGCATATTATTCCTAAGATTACCAAAATGATTAGGTCCAGTGAACACCAGTCTCTTTAACAAAAATGTATCTTGCAGACCTTAGAGTTAAAGGGAGGTAACCAAATTAAGGGCCAGCAAATGTGAATACTACTTGTTAAAAGGCTTCACCCAAAGATCTCTTACAGTAAACTCCAGGAATATAGTTCCCTTTTCAATGGGAATAACCTAAGCTCACACAATGGCATAAAAGAGTTAAAAAATACTCGTTATTGCCTAAAAGTTCACCTGGGGTAATCATGCCTACTTTCACACCCATACAATACACCAATTCAATGAACTTGTCCATGATGATCAAAGAAGCAAAAGAATGTTCCATATTTCCTGGTTCCACCCTCTTTTCCATTTCAATCAATGATCTTTGTTCATCATACAGATCAACCATATCTCAGTCAACCATGTATTGTCTAATCATTGTTCTAAAAGATCTTAGATATCAAGGTCAAATCATGTTCATCTGATGCAATCATGTAGTCCTATTACCATTTTGCAAATTGGAAATAAATGACTGACATCACCTTGTAAGAAAGCCAAGTTATTTACTTGATTCTTTTCTACATAAATTTGGCTATAGATTTATCAACCTTAATGAACTTAAATTAGAAAAAACACATTTATGCCAATTACTTTACAAGATAGTGGGGAAAAGATAAAGAGTGGTAAAGAATATTTTTCAAGTAGACCTCAAACATCCCTTTTACCTGTTTGTTCTAACTACTAGAATATTTTGTGAAAATATCTTCTAATAAAAAACTGTTGACAGTTGGAGAAAGAGCTGTGAACGGTATCCGGATTCAATATCATGCCCAAAAGTAGCACTTGACCATCACTTTAAACTGGCTACAAATTGTAATTGCATGTGTGTGTTCCAATTAGTTTATATTCAACCTCCATAAACTAAAAATAAATCCAATCATAGATTCCAAACCTAGTACCTGCACGCTATTCCTGAGATTTATGGGAGACCTCAGTATGGACATGGTGGAATCAGAAAAGATAGAACAGTTACCTTATGGTCAACCAGTATGAAAACAGTTATTTCTTATCATACAAGGGTCATTGCTTATTCTGCAGAAATAAAATGATTAACTAAAGGTCAACCCGCTAATAAAAAGTTCTCTTAAATTACAAGGGACATTGCTCATGCTGCAGAAGTAAAAGGCTTAACTGCAACAGGCTGATATGAACTCCAGTAGCTCACGATTTTTTATAGCTAAAACATAGACAGACTTTGTAAGGCAACATAAACAATATTCTTGTGAGGATTCTCAAAAAGAACGTAATGAAAGATAAGAGATCAGCCCATAATGAATCACAAAAAGCAATAAAATTTTACTAGTAGAAAGCATCCACATGAGATGCGACCAGCTGGACAATGAATAGAAGATTAGGGAACAAAGTATAACAAATGCTGAAGCATACTAGAATAATTGCCAGGCGCTACTATGTTCGACAATCACATCAATTTATGGAATAAAATCGTTCACATACTCGGCATTTAGTATCTCTTTGTTGAAAGAGAATTCTTCTGTTATTTTCTTTCTTTTCAATGAAAGGAAAGGAATAGTCCTCTAAATTGCCAAATGGACAACTTGGGTTTACTCTTAAAAAGAGGGATGTGATAAAGTGGATGCTATAATATAACATCCACTCAATTAACTCTTTATATACTGAAGGTTACTTTTTACTAAAATAAGTAACATACCTGTCTTGCTTTAGTACCAATCTTGTTCAGATATGCTGTGAAAATTCTTGTAGACATACATTCCCCAAATGAAACTAAATAATCTCTTGTACGAAGAGTCAACTCTTTCATCATGGCAATGTCTTTTAGAAGTTGCTCCAGTTCATCCAAGAAAACTGAAACAAGAAAGCCAAGAATTATAGGGTGATTGAGAGTTATAACGTATCAGAATCCAACTGATTACAAAAGAGAGAATCTGAAGAGAAAGGTGACCAGACACTGCATGTAAAGCTGTGCGTATAAAATACCAGAAAAGTTATATGTTATGTAACATATTTAGATGTCAAACCATCGAATGTGCCACTTGCCAATGATAAACAGTTAGCCGTATGAGGACAATAGTTAAATGCAAACAGAATCTTGAACATATGCAGCATGAAAGTCTAGAAGTGATATAACAAAATTATAGGAATGAAAATGAAAATGAAAATAAAGGTCGAAGAGTATAACACTACACGATAACTCCCTTTTGTGAAGTCTTTTTAATACCAAAACATGTAATGTAATTGCGCATGTTTACTATTTAATTACAGTTTATATGGAGTTACAATTATACATTTTCTAGGATATTACAATCATACCCATTGAAGAACAAAAACAGTCATAAATACAGCATATTCATTCAGAATATAAAAAATGAAATTTCTAAAATAATCATAATCATCTTAAGCGCCACTCATATCACAATGGGATCACCTACATACCATGAGCCACAAGGCAAGGTTTGGCAAGTTTTGTAACCCAAAAAAAATCCTGTTGCTATGTACAAAAATTATGGACAATGGAGGATCTTGCAATAATCCCTAGAAGGCAGTTGGAAAGAGGATAGCCACGTAAAAGAACATTAGGGAGAAATATAAAGCTATGAACTATGGTCAAATAACCAAGTTGAAGGACAAGCCTCCATCCCAACACCAAACGCAAATTATCATGGGACTGTTACTGTTGACTGTCTCCTTGAGCTAAAATGATGTCAATGCCCTAAGACATTAACCATCATTCTTGTTGAGGTGCCTCCCCCACCTCCTCTAGTGTGTATATGAATGGGATCTCGTGCAAAATTACCAAAATATTCCGTCTTTAGTATCATTATAATCTTAGTTTCCTTTTTTAGTTGGATATGGTTTTTCATCTGTTATAAGCCAGAAATGAACTGTCTTAAGAAATATTTACTGAATCCAAGGGTCTCAAAGCCCATGATGAAAAGTTCAGGTCTGTTAAGTTTTGGCACTATTTTCCTTGAATGCCAAAGTGCTTAAATACAGCCTGTGGAGCTAGAAAAGCCAGATAATGTCGTCTATTATCAAAATATTTTTCACTAAATCACCTGACTTCCCTTAGTTCACATGTATCAGGGAATAAATTGCCAAAACATGTATCTTCTTAGATAACCAAATGTCCCAGGTATTCCCACAATATGACATGCTCCAATATTGTAGCCTCAACATCCTTGTTCATGAGAACTATCATCTTAAGACAGAGACATTATTGTTTCATCATCACAAGATTCACAAATTTACCACAAAATTCTTTTCTTGTTAAAATGGAATGAGCTGATTCCCACCATCGTATAAATATTTACACTTTACACCTTTTTTTATGCTCTTCATTTTCCCAAATAGTTCAAATTTCTTTTTAAAAAAAGGGGAATGCCTTTCACTCCTTCAACTAATTCAGATAAATGACTGCAATAGATAAAGACAGGAAAATGAGTGGGAAAAAAATCATATTTCCAACTTTAAAACCAAGGAACTGACCGTATCACATTTGATTTGTTCAAAACAGGAAAATAAGGGCATGTTTATTAACATTAAGCAATCCAAACAAAGAAGAAAAAGGCCCATGCGATGCTGTCCTATTTAACTGCCACGTCAAGGAACAGCATTGTTATGCTATAATAATCATCCGTGTAAAGCATAATCATGACATATATGTTTGAAAACACAATTTTCCCCCAAAAAGATAAACATCGATTAAACAAAACTTACCAGAAATAATGGACCTATCAACTCCGAGTTCATCAACTGTCCTGAACAGTTAAAACAACAACAGTTAAGCCCCACGCTCCCACAAAAGGACAAACTATCAAGAACCTTTTAACAGCAACACAGAAACCAACCTAAGATGCAAGTCTTGTATAAAGCTCAACTCATCAATTTCCGATACATGTGATACACCGCAACTAACCGCTTTCTCTCCAGCCTATAGAAATCGTTAAATTGATTAAATAAACCAACCAGATATGAGACACCTAACTAGGCTTATTTGCACTCTAATACCCAAAAAATTCACCTTTTTTCTACTTTGACACCCTGAAATTCTACTTTGACAATTTGACACCCAAATTTTACAAGTTCATACCCCAAAGCCCTAACTTTATTGCTCACTTTCCCAAACTCAAAAGAAGAAAAAAACCAAAATTTTGTAAGAAACTTTACTTAACATTCTGACATTCACTTTTCTAAGCTAATATCCTGAACAAAACTGCCGTCAACCTTTTAGCACATTGGCAACTTCAGGGTATCAAAGTCAGAAAAAGAATGAAACTTTGGGTTTTGAAGTGCAAATATGAAATATCCCTCTAAAGGTTAAGCTGAAATCATCCATTCCAATTACCTGCAAGAGCTTGTTCGTGGTCTTCCCCATCGCCGACAGAACAACCACCGGCCTTTCTTGGGGAAAACTCAAGATTAGATTCGCAACCTCTCTCATTCTCTCGGCCGAGGCGACCGACGAACCTCCAAACTTCATCACGACGCTAAACCCCGCATCTCTCCCCTCTGATCCTTTCCTCGAGATCTCATCCTTCTTCTCTACAACTGCAGAGGCCCCTCTCTCACAACAAACCCTCAAAAACCCTCTCCTCTGCACGGTCCCCCTCTGAAGCTTGATCTCAAATCTCGGCAACGAACCGAGCGAGCTCAGCGGGTCCCTTCTGAGTCCGGGACAGCTCGATCGAGAACCGAGGTGAAGTGAGACCGCCATTTTCTGAAGAAATTGCTCAGATCTCGAAATCAAACCCTACGTTTCAACGCTCAGAACGATAAACAGCAAGAACCGCTTTAAAATTTACAGATCTGAGGATGATTAGTACCTGAACTCGGGGGGTTTAGCGCTAGGGTTTTAGGCCTCGCCTCTCTCTCTCTCTCACAGAGCTAGGGTTTTAGGTCTCGCCTCTCTCTCTCTCTCTCTCTCTCTCTCTCTGAGCTAGGGTTTTAGAGAGAGAAACCCTCGGATTGGAGAGAGAAAGAGAGCGCGATTTTTGCAGTGACGGCGGAGAGAACGGTCGGTGGGGCGGGTTTATATAGGGGACGATGATCGATCCCGCTCATTCCTGGGGAGAAAATGGACGGTCCAGATTGAAACTGACGTGGCAACTGGGGTTGAATGAGCGAAGAAAGCAAACCGCGGCGGCCGGTAGTTAAATTCAATGTCCTCAGCTTTTGCATAGTCGTCCCTACGCAATCTATTATCGTTTTGTAAATTTGTGGTGCATGATGTGCAATGAATTGTTCTATTATTTTTGTGTTGTTTTTTATTAGCCCCTCCAGATCTATTTTGATATCAGCCCCCAAAAGCTACGACATTGATCTCAGGACCCTCTTAATCCTCAATCTTTCGTTAGCCCCCAAATCTTTAGAATCTATCTCAGGCCTGCCCCTACGGAATGTCTGGTTAAAATTTGGTTGAAATGAAGGAATATTCTGTTTACTTTTAAGTTTTTCGGTGGTTTGTCAGTTACACCCCTCTCACACAAACCCAAACTCATTAATCACCTTAACCTATACTCGTTAAGCTCTCCAAGTCCATTTAATAAAATCCTAACCCAAACTTTTTTCACTTCGCTTCTCTCCAACGGCTCTTTTCAGTTATAATCCTAGATTTACATCGGATAGATTCTCATTGTGAAAGACGCTAGAGAAGATGCTAAAGAAGATGAAGTGAAAATGGACTTATTGTAGGATTTGAATGGATTAGGAGAGCTTAACAGGTAGAAGTTAAAGTAGTTAATAAGTTTGGATTTGTGTCAGACGGGTATAATTCACATTCATCAAAAAAGCTAATTAACTAATTAGAATATTTTCCCCATTTCAACTATATTTTTATTAGAGGGGCTTAGTTCAACATACTAATAGAATTTGGGGGTTCTAAGATCGATTTCAAAGATTTGGAGAGCTAGTATCGAAATATTGAGGGTTTAGGGGGATCTGAGATTAATTTTAAAGTTTTAGGAGACTAATATAAAATTATTGAAGATGTTGGGGGCTAATATGGAAATAACTTGTATCTTTTGCGTAAACAGGGCATCAAGAATTATGTTGAGTGGCGATTGAAGGTGGGACATTGACAATGATATGCATCAATCAATTAGTGCAAAGTGTTGAGATGTCACTAAGTAGTCAAAATGCAATTAATAAATGGTTTAAACGTTGTCCTATACTAGTGCGGTAAGAATCTAAGATCATTGCATATATATATAATAATAATGTATAAATAATACATAATATTTATGTTTACATGATTGGCCCGTTCATGTGCTTATATAAATATTGCATATTGGACTTTTATGAATACTATTTAATTTTTCTTTATTTTTTCTGGGCTTTTTTCACTGTAAGCCATCTTCAAAATGGATAATTATAAAAATTTACTTCAGTTACATCTCATGTACAATGAACTTAAATTTTTAAGCTTATTTTTTATTTTTCAATAAAAATTAAATGAAAGTGGTTGATCACAACAAAAACGTACTTTAGAAATAGTTTATGTATAAATTAAAAATAAAAAATATTTTTTATATAATTATCCTATTTTTAAGATGGTTTCTAAAAAAGCCATACTTTTTAATCATTCAATGGCTCTTTTAAAGCTGCATTATTAGAACCATAACAGAGAGAAAGAGAATCAATTATGAAATGCTATGCCGAATAATTATTGTTATGACTCTAAAGATATTTACTTACAACAAATGCATATACAAATGTGTATATATAAAGTCTTATACTGAACATGCATAATTTATGAAGTTGTTGGAGTTATATAATAAAGATAACTTAAAACTTGGGCTTGTAGAGGAAAAGAGGAAAAGTTTAGTCCCACATAGGAAATGGGATAGAAAAAAAGGATCTTTATAAGCCTTCCCTTTCTCTCCTATGCCTAGAAGAAAATAAAAGGTTATGCTCCACACCACACACGCGCGCGCCGGCCGGGCCGGGCTCGGGCTCGGGCTCGGGTCGGGTCGGGTGGCGTGCGCACACGACCTGCGGACACGAATGCCGCTCTGGATTAATGGGCCCTTAATCTGCTACATTTTTATTTTTAAATAATTAAAATATAATTTTTATTTTTGAACAATTAACATGTGATAAATATTTTGTAACAGAAATATTTTGTAACGGTAAAAATTTATTAGTGTGATTAAAAACGTGATAAATATTTTGTGAATTTATTATGTAACGGAAGCGTTTTTTAATTTTATAACGGCTAAGTTTTATTAACGTGATTAAAACCGTGTTAATTACGGGGTTTATAAGTAACGGCTGTTTTTCCCTATAAAAGGATCTAAAATCCGCAGAGTTTAACTTCTGTTTACGCTGGTTCCCTGAAAGTCTAGAAGAATTCGCAAAACCTTCTTGAAGCTCGTGCCGACGAGAAGGAGGTCGCCTGACCGAGGGTCGTCGTATCTCCGAGATCTTTTGCCGCGTAGCCCTGTACGAGAGGGGGCAATTAGTTTCTTGGGACAGTGCTTTGCACGCTTCGATCATCAGGCCGTATTTCTAACTCTGTTTCTTTTTCATTTGAGTGATTATCTGTTAATTATTAAATTGCTTAAACTGATTTTCGTTATTGTCTAAACAGCTAATATTCCCAACAGTTGCGTACGAAATTTTTTTTAAATAATGCAAACTTAGAATGAAAATAACATTTTAATAACATGGAGCCGTAGTTTTCTAGAGGACACAGCTTTCCAAAGTGAGAGTCTTGTTTGGTAACGGCAAGGGATATTTTCTTTTCTTTGTGAATGTGGAAAAGAAGGGGAGAAAAAAAGGGTAGTGTGTTTTGACTTGATTTGGATTGCATTTATAGAAAAATTTGTAGAATAAATGTTGAAGTGAATCATATTAATAACCTACTGACGACACTAAAAAAAGATATAGAGACATTTCAAGACATGCAGATTTTTTCTAATGGATTTACATTTAATCAAGTGACGGGAATGATGGATACAGAACCAAACTTTGGGAAGACTACATAAAAGTAAGTTAAATAATTAGTCAATTATTGATTTTGTCTGAATTATGTTCTATATAGTTGGGAGATTAATGCTTACAAATTATCTTATAAGTTTGTGTTTAGTTAACTGTTCAATTTATTTCTCTCTTATAGTTATATAGCATGTAATGCAATAAATTGGTTAGACTTTGTAATTTATACATATAAATTGAATGTTATTCATATATGTACTGACGTTTTTTAAGTGGGAATACCAAATAGTGTCTTAAATAGATCAATGTATTAATCCAGATCCCTTATGTTTTAGAGGGGTCACTGGTCAGATAGGAGTTAGACATTTTTTATTTTTGAGATAACTTGTAGTTAGATTATCTTTTGATGTTGCTGTTCGTAGAATATAGGCCAGATTTTTCTTGAGTTTGTAGCTTTAGATCTTCATAATTTTGATCCTACTGTAATTCTCACTTGAAAAATATCACTGATTACGTACATTAATGACCATGAATCGTGAGCAGAAATACTATGCTTTTTCTCAATAAATGTTTGTCATCTCTATAACTATATTTAGGAGGTAGTAGCTTGCCAGCTAGAAGCATTTCTATTTTCGTTTTTTAATATTTGATGTCACTCAGATGCATATATATTGTAATTCTCACATAAAATGTAGTTAATTACATTAGTTTGACTATTTTGTGTTCTTACATATATATTATAATTATCAATGGTGGAAGTTGATTCTTTATTTGTTAATAGGCACATCCTGGAACAAAACAATTTTGTTACAAACATGTACCATGTTTTCAAAACATGCAAATCATTTATGAGAAATATAGGGTCGTTGATTTAGCTTCTAAAACTGTCAATGAAAGACGTGCTAGCATAGAAAATGAAAGAGATGAATCAAGTTCTATCGATACTAATTGTTATATTCGTTTTGGTGATGAGAAACAATCTCCAATAAATGGTAGACAAGTATCCTACATTATGCACAATCAAGTCAGTGTTTCAAGATAATCAAAGGCTCAATTCGGTCGACTCAACATGCCGACATATTGCAAGGAGGACCCGAAAGGCGTCACGTGTTGTCCCCTGGCTGAGTTGACTGCTTAACCACTCCACTAGACCGACTCATCGGCCGACACCTTGTGAGGGTGACTCAAAAGGCGGTACTTCTCGACCACCGGACGAGTAGAAAGGCAACGAAATGCCTTGAGCCTCGAGCCCCTCCTGTGTACTGGTGACCAATCACATTACAATAAATGTCATTAAATGCATTACGAACGCCATCATTCCTCTGTCCTTAATAGTCTTTATGACACATCGACACTGCACACCTCCAATCACTTCGCATTAAATACCAAAGTGATCTCTTTTCCACTCGCCGACCGACACCTGTAAAGCTGAGGCTAAAATGGTCGTCATCCCATACTCAGCTAAAGTTACCATTATACTCTCCTGCCACTACTATAAATAGAGATACTACTTTCAATTATAGGACAAGTTCTTAGCTACTACTCTTTGTGCTTAAGAACTACTGTAGTCCATTTTACTTTTTCACTAAAGCAAATCATTGACTTGATCGTCGAAGGAACAGCCGGGGAACCCAACCCCGCCCTCTTACGATTTACTACTTGCGCATGGAAGAACAACTTACTCAAGAAATAGACATTTGGAGAGTTAGAGGATAATACAGGTGTATCTTCTCTTTGGGAGCTTAGCGATCCTCATGGGAGCTTGAGGATAGATGATTCTCATGGTATCTTGAGAATAGAGTAGAGGAGTCGTGGACGAGGTCATTGGAGGTGGCAAAGTCAACGGATTCGTCAAACTGTAGGAATTACAGCTGGGCTCTGGCCGGTCGACCGACTTGGTCACAGCGGTCGACCGCGTAGTGCACAGACCCAGACTGTGTCTCTGGACTGAGAGCGGTCGACCGATGTAGGCGCTGCGGTCGACCGGAAACCCTGTAATCGATTTTTCTAGAAATCGATGTTCTGGCCGGTCGACCGACGTG